ATAGAAGAAAAAATGTGCACTTATTTTGTAAAATAATACACCACTAGTGGAAATTGAAAAAGAAAAACAATACTAGTTGAAAAAAAATCGAAAAGAAACAGAGAAGGAAAAATTAAGATGATTAAATTGTTGTTTTGATTCTTACTAGTGGGGTATAAATTAAAGTATCGCTTAAAGAAAGAGGAAATAATTTTGGGGAATGATCTTGTTTGTGAAATTGAAGTGGATTGAAGAAATTGCGCTTAAAGTTTATTATGTAATGTGTTAAAGTGTTCAGGAGGGTGAACCACTAATCCTAAATATATCCTACCCGTCCCTTAGCCCACATTACAACCATATAAAGTCCTAATTGATTTTAGACCGAGTGAGCCTACATTAGCGGAAATACATTATGGGCAAGTATATGGTACTTTTTGCATGCATGTGACTTCTTTGTGAGAGTGAGAGATTTTCTTTGATATATGTGAGTTCTTGAACTATATTTGATCATGAGATTCAAATGTGCGGATTCAAATTACCCTCTTGTTCTTATTGTGAGGGCACATGGTTCACGATGGATAAATAACATTATTAGACTTCTCTGTGATGTTTTCAAGTCTTGGGTGCATTGTTATATATATGAGTCGACTTTTGAGGCTAGGATTGTTATGAGCACGTTGTCTTTGTTGTGAATATGTGAAGAATGGCATAAATAAAGGAAATTGTAAGTGATTGCATATGCTACAGTTTAATTGTTGCTATCAACCATGGTCATTAGTATTGTGTATGTTGAAAAAATAAAATTAAATAGCTCTTCCCTAATTGAGATGTACGTTGTTGGGGGTATATTTGTTAGTCCCATTGCTCGAGGACGAGCAAGAGTCTAGTGTGGAGTGTTGATGTTAGCTTAAAGTATATATATATATTTATATGTATATCGCCTCATGTTTTACTTTTGTATCATGGATTTAGGATGTAAAACGTGTTGATTTATATTAATTTAAGGTGTTTTATGTGTAGGAATAATCCGGGAGCAATTGGGGGCGAAATGTGCAAAATTAGAACCAAAACGGACGAAAACAAAAAAAGTGAAATTTGCAGCGCCACAGGCAGCGCCTAACCCTACCTGTGGCGCCAAAAACAGAAACTCCAAATTGGCAGCGCCATGGAGGGCGCCTGGCACTAGGCAGGGCACCGGTGGCGTGAAACTTGTCCAAATTTGCCCGGGACAAAGTTATTTCTGCCCAAGACCCCTCTAACTCGTATAAAAGGAGTTCTAAACCTATTTTGGGAGTTATCTAACATATTTTGAAGGGGATCTAACATACATTGAAGGAGAATTCACATGGAGGAACACACACCACGCTTGGAGGAGGCTTCTAACTAGTTTTTCTTCTTCTCTTCTTTTAATTTCATAGTTTATTTGTTCTAGAGTTTTGGGTGCTACATGAACGTTGTAGTTTGAAGCTTGAATTGTTTTTATTAATTTATCATATTGGTTTATTTATTCAATCTTGCACTTAATTATTTGATTGCTTGATCGTCAATTGAATACTATCTACAAATCTAGGATTGAACTCGGAAGAGGGAATTCTAGATTGCATATAAGATTGAGTAGAGTAAGATCTTAACGCTAAAGGGAGGGGGGAGCGGATTGCGGTTAGGATAGGAATATACCTAATCGTCTTGCTTGGTTACTATACAGGAATTATTAATGCGTTCTTGTTAATTCTAATTCCATAGGAATATAGGCGTAGGTTAGCTTGAATAGGCGAGTTGTACTTCGAAGGCTACAAGCAATATATTAACCCTGTCAACCAATAAACCAGATGAATTAATTAGACGATTTAAGTGAAAAACTCAACGGGATCGTTAACTAACACATAGTCTAGAATATTCACTCACATTGAATTCGTCGTTAAGCTTGTCGTTGCTTTCTTTAATCTCCTTATTTGCTACTCTAGATTATATTTTGTTAAATATCCATACGTTAGGATTCACTTGAATAGATTAATTATTTGGTTTAATTTAGTTGATAGTTAATCACAAGTCCCTATGGGTATGATATCTGGACTTACAATCCTATATTACTTGTTGACCACGTATACTTGTGTGTGCGTTTTGGAGCAACATATACATCATATAATTTAAATTATGTGTTTTCATCTTTTCCTTAAAAGGAAATTTATACTATTATATCCGCAGTATAATATATTTTAGCAAATTACATAACTAAAGCATTCTAACAATATGTAGAATTTTCAGCATAATATAACACACCTTATCATGGCTCTTGTCCAACACCTCAACTATTAAATGATCTTCCCAAATGGAAAAATAAAGTTGGAAGGACAGAACGATGAGTTTAAGTTCTGTCGCAGCTATAGAATAATACCAGAGAGTTCGATGTTTTGATTCTTAAGAAAAAGAAAGAAATTTAAGTCTAAAGTGAAAGCGTAATTTTACCCTTAATTACTTTAGTCTATGTATGATATAATACACGTATTCTTTTACCGCATTCTACCCCATATAAGCAAGAAAGATCGAAAGAATTACAAGAAAATACACATGACTTCACACCATAACAAAAAATGGCTCATGTTTTTAAGTTTTACCCGACCTAACCCATATTGTACGTATTTTGAAAACACTAGCTCTTGCAAATTCATAATCTGTGTTCTTACAAGTTACAACCATTACTTCTAAAAGTTATGGAGTTCAATTTGTATTCTCACAACCATTACTGATTCTCCCCCTATGTCATCTAATTGCAATGTAAAACAATTAAAGAGTAGAAATCCACCATTGAAGGTCATTCAAAGCTTTGCTTTAGAAAATAAATTTTTTTGAGTTTGTTAGCTGTTTGGATTAAGTGTTGTTTCAATTGATTGAAAATATCAAAAGGAGTTCAAAATTTGAATTTGAAGTGATTTGTAGTAGATTTGAGTTAAATTTCTAAAAAGACGCAAGGAAGAAGACAAAGTCAGTTTTTTGTATAATCTTGTATAATAGTGTATATGAGTGTATAAACACATCTTATACACTATTATACACTTTTATACACACTTATACAAGTGTCTGTAGACGAACTTCTTCCACGATTTTTAGTTGCAATTCCTATTCAAAACTAGTCCAAATCTCCATTAAATGACTTGAAATTTTATAAACCTCCTTATATTATTTCTAACAAGTCTAAATAACGCCCACTCCAAGTTTCTCACAAAATCAAATTCGGAACTTAAACCCACATATTTAAACTTGTTAAAATTCTAATTTTCACCAACCATTTAGATTTGGTTTGTTGAACTAATATTTGAGTCACAGTTACTGATTCAAAAATTAACTTAAAAGCTTGAGCAATCTTTTCTAAAAATTAAATAGTAATTTTGAGAATCTATTGGAGTTGAATGTTGAATCTTAGCCATTGAAATATTGGTTATAAAATTAAAAAGTAGGGTGCCAAGTTGTTCTTATGCGAAATTTTCGGGGGAAGTGCACAGTTAGCCAATAATAAGATGTATTTACTTTTAAGCCATTATTTAAAATGTTTTTAGTCTTTAGCCACTGCTTTAATAAACTTTTACCCGCTCGGACGAAAATGCCCTTCTACTCATAAAGTTGATGATCAAGTGTCTTTAACTTATGAGCTTGGTACTGTAAGTTCAGGACTAGATGTCCTTAATTTATGAGCTTGTAAGTTAAATTTAGGACTACATGTCCTTAACTTTTGAACTTGTAACTCTAAGTTCAGGACTACATGCCCTTAACTTTTGAACTTGTAACTCTAAGTTCAGGACTACATGCCCTTAACTTTTGAACTTGGAACTCGAAGTTCAAGACTACCTGTCCTTAATTTCTGTGCTTGTAACTCTAAGTTAGGGACCAAATATCCTTAATTTTTGAACTTCCAACTCTAAGTTCAGGACCAAGTGTCCTTAAATTATGAGCTTGTTACTGTAAGTTCAGGACTAACTGTCCTTAGTTTATGAGCTTCTAAGTCTAAGTTAAGGACTACCTGTCTTTAATTTTTGAGCTTGTAAGTTTAAGTTTAGGACTATCAGTCCTTAACTTTTGAACTTGTAACTCTAAGTTAAGGAATACATATCCTTATTTTTTAAACTTGGAACTCTAAGTTCAGGACTACATTTTCATCTTCTTCACCAACAGTTTCCATCAAAATACGTCATTGTTCGTCCCATTACACTCTCTTTATCAGAAAAAATACCAACAAGAACAACTGTAACACAATCATCTGAGCTCACAAAATTACCAATCCGTAAGATTTTCGGCGATTATGGTCTTCCTTTAATTGGTCCATGGAAAGATAGACAAGATTATTTTTATAATCAAGGCAAAGAAGAATTCTTCAGATCAAGAATTCAAAAATACAAATCTACTGTTTTTAAAACCAATATGCCACCAGGAAATTTCATTTCTTCCAATCCAAACGTTGTCGTTTTGCTCGACAGCAAGAGTTTTCCGATCCTTTTCGATGTATTTGCTGAAATTGGACAGAACACAAAAGAGATAGAAGAAAGGGTAACACCGTCTTTTCATATTAATTTAATAGACTAGTGGCTACTTTTGCTCAGCATTAAAAATGCTAGATAAAAAGTAAATACCACTTTAAAAAATGACTATCCCACGCAATTTTTACGAAATTTTCCCTATAAGATTGAACATAGATTTTCCTCGTTAACTTCTGCAGGTATTATGTAAGAAGAAAGAAAAAAACTAACCAAACATTGTATAAGCTATGCTTGATTTTATACGGAGATTAATTTTCCTTGAGACACCAACCAATGTAACTAATGCTGGATTTCGTCCCAAACACAGGGTACCATAAAAAGGTCCATAGCTTGTAAGCATTTCCTTCTCTCAAAATAAAGGGTGGGTGAAAGTATGCAATGCATCAACGGATAATGTAATGGCTAGGCAATGTCATTGGAGATTGATCAAAGTTCAACAACTGATCATAATGACCCCTAAATCAATCGGTATCTAATAGAATTACTGGAACAGTATTAAATAATGGATGCATTACTGGAAAATTTTTATCTCATGAATCAACAAAAGTTATGGCAGAAGAGCGAAACGTAATTTAACAATTCAAACTGTGCATGTACAGATGACACCGAGTATATTATGCCACTCTAGTTACCAACTCATCGACTTAATGTATACCATGTTAGTTGTTCCCCCATTAAATTTTCAAGCAAAACTTGATCCTTCATGCATCTTTAAGCTATTCCAGCACTACCTGAACATATCAAGTAATTAGTAAGTGCTTCTAGAAACCCATGAAAAGTTAATTAAACAAACCAGAGGGAGAAAGCATACGGAGCTTAACTATTTGGATTTTTCTGGTCGACCAAGTGCAGGGG